CGCGGCGGAGGCACCGCGGGCTGTGCGGCTTTGGGTGCGGAAACGTGAGGTTCCGCGGCGTCTTCGCCGTGTTATTGTGTTCTGTTGGCCGGGGAGGGGTTGAAAGGGGGCGGTTTAAAACTTGTTTGCTCGGGGTGGAGGTGGTTTGTTGAACTGTGCAGCTGGTCTTGTCAGTCTGCGAGCCGTGTTGGTATTGCGCTTTCCCCCCAAAGATGGCACTGGATGTCTTTCGCATTTCCTTGGGATATTATTTTTCATCCCCTGGGGAGCCCAGCTCCTGGTTGGTACAGCTGTAAATCTTTCCCTTCTCGCATTCATTCGCCCTCGGTCTGTTGTGGATTTGTACTCGGCGCTGGTGAAGAAGGCAGCTTGTTCTGTGGGTGAATCAGGAGCAGACGCACTTGGTTTTCTGTTTTCTTGTTTTGTTTTGTTTTTTATTCCCATTAATCTGGCGACCCTAAAGCTGACAGAGTCGATATTAAATGCAAAATGAAATCTTTGACTGCTGGGTGAGCACCAAGACTTTATGTCCTGGGACAAGCTGTTGCTTACCATTTTTAGTGGTCAGGGTGACGAAGATGCTAAGTACCTGTTAGGAGAAACCTTTCCTGCTCTCGCTGTGCCTCTTTCTCTTGCGAGTGGGGAACAGCTCCGTGCTGGCTGTGCTTTGGATGGACAAGGCAGGTTCTTTCTTGTGATTATCAGATGAGTTTGGGAAGTGCTTGACAGCACTTATATTTCTCCTCTTTCAGGTAAACGTGTGACATCTCAGGGGGAGTGAAAAGGGACTTTGTCCCTGGCTGTCAGTAAAGTGTGGGTTTCTTATTTCTTGGTTCTCTCTATAGATGTGGCATTTAGATAACTTGTCTGGATTTTTATAGAGGTGCAGAACTATCACTGCAATTTTCTCAATGGTGGTGTGATCTTCATGTTGATAATTAGGCTGAACGAAAAGGAATGGAAATACGTAATCTTTATTTAAAAGTCAGTGTAGAAGATGTATTTATTGGAGAAGCTTTTAATCTGTCTTTTGGGAAAATGGATTTGTTCTTTGATTGTGTTGTTGGTTGGGGTTGGTTTTGTTGTGGTGTTTTTTTTTTTTGTTTGGTTTTTTATGTCACCTGCTCTTAAGGTTATTCTGAATCCTTAGGTGCTTTTCATGTGACGTCTAGTTCATTTTAGACTTTTCTAGCCCTTTTTCTTTCACATGCTGGTCTGTGGTCAGAAAATACTTGAAAACGTGCTGTTTGCACCCTTGCTTTAATGTTGTAAGGAGCATATTAGGTTTGTATGCTGAGTTACTCTCTTGTGGAAGATGCCTTGGCCACTTGACAGGCCTTCATTCAAGACTTTAATGCACACGCATCACTTTAAGAAGGAGACTTCCCCAATGTACTAGCAAGCAAATCTGTTGAGCTCTGCTGCTGCAGGTTCGGACAGAAGAGCGAGGATTGTGCAGGTTCTTTCTTCACTCTGGCACGCAGAACACGACCCTGCTGGTGTTCTTGCCCTTTTCCAACTTAGTTTGGGGGGGCGTCCTCAGCATTGCTATTGCTGGTTAGACAGGCTGTCCTTGTTTCGGCATTGAGCTCAGTAGTGAGAAGCACTTTCCATGGCTTGCCAAGTTAGTGTGCAGGTTAGTACTAGAAAATTTTTATTTTTTTATATTTTTTAATGGCATGGGGTCTCCTTTGCATTCCACACCTATGATGCCATACTCAGACTCTCCCCATTACTGGATTTTGGCCAGATCCTCAGCACTGTTGTAATCCGCTGCTGAAAGAGATCAGTACCAGGTGGCTAGGGCAATTTGTGGTGTGCCGTATCAGTTCTGTTTTCAGAAAGTATCCCGTTCTCTATTCCTCTTTTGCCCTTGATCTTGTGTGTTTGTGTATACATGTACACACACAATGTTTATTTATGCCTTCTGTCCTATTATTTTAGGATTTCAGATGCATGCCAGGTTCCCACTGAATGCCAGAAGTAGCGATCACTACAGATGGAGCCCCAAAGTCAACATGGCAGCGGTGGCTCGCTAGTTGTGATTCAGCAGCCTTCCTTGGATAGCCGGCAGCGGTTGGATTATGACAGAGAGAGCCAGCCAGCAACCATCTTGTCACTGGACCAGATCAAGGCCATCAGGGGCAGCAATGAATACACCGAAGGTCCATCTGTGGTGAAAAAGCCTGGTCCGCGGACAGCACCGAGGCAAGAGAAGCACGAAAGGACTCACGAAATTATACCGATTAATGTGAATAATAATTATGAACACAGACCCAGCCACGTGGGGCATGTGGCGCATCAGCAGAATGCGAGGGCTCCTGTCTTGAGCAGATCAACCAGCACAGGGAGTGCGGCCAGCTCTGGGAGCAACAGCAGCGCCTCCTCAGAGCAAGGGCTTTTGGGGCGGTCACCTCCATCCCGGCCGGGGTCAGGCCATAGATCCGACTGGACAATCCGGACGCAGCCCAAGCAGTCATCTCTAGTTGTAGATGATCTGAAGGGTCCTTTGAAAGAGGACTTGACGCAGCACAAGTTCATCTGCGAACAGTGTGGGAAGTGCAAGTGTGGCGAGTGCACGGCGCCGAGGGCCCTCCCTTCTTGCTTGGCCTGCAACCGGCAGTGCTTGTGCTCTGCGGAGAGCATGGTGGAGTACAGCACCTGCATGTGTTTGGTCAAAGGGATCTTCTACCATTGTTCTAATGACGATGAAGGGGACTCTTACGCGGATAATCCCTGCTCTTGCTCCCAGTCACACTGCTGTTCTAGGTACCTGTGCATGGGAGTGATGTCCCTGTTTCTGCCTTGCTTGCTCTGCTACCCTCCTGCAAAAGGATGCCTGAAACTCTGTCGGGGGTGTTACGACCGCGTCAATCGTCCAGGGTGCCGGTGCAAGAACTCCAACACGGTCTATTGTAAACTGGAGAGCTGCCCTTCCCGGGGTCAGGGCAAGCCCTCATGATTTTTGGAGGGAGGTTACTTCCTCCAACTTCAGTTTTTCAGGTTGTAGCTGATTCTTTTTCTTTTCCTTCCCCCTCTCCCTTTCTCTCTCCCCCCTTCCCCCCCCAATTTTGGGGGTGGGTGTTCTTTGCTTCCTTTCTCTCCCCAACTTCAAATACACAAGTTCTTCTTTTGCATCTTTGCTCTCCTCTTCCTGTTGGCTGAGCATGGAGCATTTTACATAGTCATTGCTGCTCTTTGGTAAGTGTGGACCTGGAATCTGCGTCTGCCACTCACTTTGGCAGGGTCTTTTGAGTTTGTAACTGAACCACTCCTGAAAGAGACAGTGAGGGCTCACTGGGCTCTTGAAGCTTCTCGCTCTGTGAATATCTTCCCAAAGATGTTTTTCATTCTCAGCAATTTTGTTATTTTTTCCTTAACCCCCTGGGTACCAGGGAAGAACAACTTTCATGAGTGAGCTGGATTGCGAAATGTTTTTGTGTATGTTCTATCTGGAGAGGGATGTAAAAATAAAGGCTTTACCAAATGAAAGGCCTGAGTCTTCTGTAAGCAGCCTGCTTTTTGGTTTGGTTTTTTTGCTTTCCCTCCTCTCTTGTCTCAACTTTTGGAACATTCTCAGTCCAGAGAATTACCTTTTTTTTTGTTGTTGTTGTTGGTTTTTTTTTTGTTTGTTTGTTTTTTGTTTTTTAACCATTTCAATCTAACTTCAGTTTTTGCTACACTGTGTAGATCTTCACATTGGAGACATTATGGCTGCAACATACTCATTTGTTTCTTTTGCTGTCAGCTCTTTGAAGGATATTGCTCACTCCAGCCTCCTACTCTTGTTTTTGTAGTCTATCAGTATCAGTTGGTATTAAAGTTGGTGGTGTTCATGTATCCAAACAGCCTTCAGGTGCCCTTGAGTCACCTAACTGTTCTTGAATCCTTCTTGTTCCTTGTGATCCTTCGGTTTAGTGAGTTTAGCTCTGCTCTGTTGCTCTGTACTTTATAAGTTTATTCTGTTCCTGTTTTATTGCCTTAGCCACAAATTGTGGTCCTTTTTTGTATATTTTATGTATAAAACACAAAGTTGAATCCCAACTATTTTTAAGACAAAAGTCTGTTAAAACTTTTTTATTGTAAAGAATATTTATTATGTGAATCTCTATTATTTTATGATATTTATTGCAAAAGACTTTGAAAATGTACTCATGTCTGAATATAACAAAATATCAATACTTAACGAAATAAGGATGACACGAAGAAAGTACATATGTTAACTATAATGCAGAAAATATATTAATTAATGAAAATGGCTCTTGTTGTTCTGTTACAGTGATGGGTTGTGAGCTATGTACCTGTGTTGCTGGGGTTTCTCCTCCCTGTGGGTCTGTCAGGTGGCAAATAACTTCCTATTGATACTTCAAAACCACTAGTCTGTGCTCTAGTTTAGTTTACCTGATTGTAGGTTTTTTACTATATATCAAGTAAATTTTTTTGCTCTGGGATATTTAATACAGATGAATGTATATGTTGTGTTTAACAGTGCTAAGAAGTCTAGGCCCTATTTATTTACCAAAGGATTCAGAAATACAGTTGTGGAGGAGGAAACTGTAACCTCAAGCTTTTTGTTTCCTGAAGAATACCAAATTAACCTGTAAGCCTGTAAACCTATCTTAAATTTTCCTCTATAGAACTTTTTGGCTGGTTAAATTGTACAACAGTTGAAGTAATGAATCTACCAAGGTCAAACCTAAATAAAAAGGCGAGAGGCAGGATAAAATGATAATGGTTGTGTTCCTGCAGTTTGCTAGTGTTGAAATTTGGGGGTGGTGGTGTTTGTGTTGAACATGTTTATGGCTTGTTTGGTTCTTTTCACATATGTGTTTTTTCAATGTCAACTGCATCTATCTTCTGTCTTTAAATTAAAGGCTCTTAAGGGTGACCTAAGTGTCACAGCTACTTGTGGCCATTTGACACATACTCAACAAAAAAGCTTTTCATTGCGAGTGAATGGGGAAACCTCATTCTTCTGTTCATGTGGGTCAAGGCTAACACCACAATTCCTCTAAAGTAAAAAGTTTATTAAGTGGATGTAATTTCAGACTAAGTGCTTCTGGAGAAACTCCACTCTAAAAACACAGTAATAACTTGACAAATGTGTCATATCTTGTGTTTTGAGGTCCTGCTGCTTCAAATTGCCATGTTCAGGCTGTTCTGACTCCTAGCATACTGATGACTCGAATAAGCTCAGCTTTTGTATTTATTCTGTCAAAGCTGATCCAATGCCTTATAATGGGCTGCTTGAAAAATCGTATGCCTTATTAAATGGCCCAGATGACTTCTATGAGGTACAAAGTGAAATCATCACCTGGCTACATCTAGGAGACAGTATATACTCAGTTGGTGATGCTTCTCTCCTGGCCTCTGAGAGACAAAGTTGATGGGCTGGGAGGGTTGTGGGGTGGCAGTGTGCATATGCAGAGTTTGCTTTCCAAGATTTTCTCTTCAGGAAATGAGGCAAAGCTAAGAGAAGAATGTTTCAGAGCAGCAGGTGACTTGCTTTGCACTACTTTGCTATCACCAGTGCTTCTCTAACTGTTTGCAGCTGCAAACAGTCTTTGGGAGACAATTAAATCCTTGTCAAATGGTCTCCCTTGGTCAGATGTGACCATTTTTAAGACTGTGTACAGACACTCAAAAAATACCAAGGGAACTGCCTCTCCCTGACTGGGTACAATCCAGCTCTGTGCTGGTTAAATTTGCTTAAAGGGTGTTAGGTATTCCTCTTCAAGAACAATGTTGTATTGCATCCCTCTTGTCTCTTGTTTCAGCCAAGTGAGTTATGTGGGGTTTGGTTCCTAGCAGAAGAGATGACAGCCCAAAGGACCCAAACATACTCTTGTCTTTTGTTATCTTCTATCACGAGCTTGTCATAGCACTGTTTCAGATTTTGTTTAAAAGAAAATCAGCAACAACCTACGCTCTACTTAGTCACTGAGGAATGCTCCCTTTACTCAACTTTGTACTAAGCTTTCACTAAACTATACTTTGGGAACAACTTCAGACTGCTGTTCATCAGGAGGGAAAATTGACTGAGCTACGCAGCAATGAGACAACAGCTCCTTGTATTTATTAAATGGCATTCTAGTTGTTAGGTGTTAACTGCAGAAGATAGTGCTCACGCAATGAGAAGAATAGTGCTTGGGTTATGTTTTTTTCCTTGGGTTAGGTGCTCTATTGCTTGTACTTAATACACATGTAGAGATGTTTGAGTTGACTTGCAGGTCCTCCGGAACATTGCCCCGTGTTATGGAAATGGCTGAGACTTCTGGACAGATGGATTTTGTGGTGTAGACACACACAGGACTTCATGAGGGCAAGTTAATATCCTTTTAGCAGAAAAAAAAAGAGCACTCTTGACAGCTGCATGAAGTAAGCCTCCACAGCTTGAGGAGACATCACTTAAAATATGCCCATAGTGGTCAGTCCTTACAATCTGTTCTTTCTGCAGTGTAGCAACTTGAATGACCGCCTAGAGATCCTGTGCTTTGTTGTAAGGGGGTATTTCTGGCGAAGAGGAGACGGAAGTGCAGATCTCAGTTCTTCAGCCTCAAATTTGTCAGTGGGCTGTCTGGGTTGCTTTCTGCATGTCAGTAGAGCACCAGGTTATCATTACAATGTAGGTCATAGAACCGGTTCTTGATTGTTTTCAGGTAGCGTTGAGACCCTATTTTGAAAAGCAGAGAACTCTGTATAAAATGGTTAATTAGGTGGGAAGTTCAGCTGACCTACTAACCTAATTGTATAGGTCAGTGATGGATTTGCCTGCCATCTGCTTATACACAGCAGAGTCCTGTGATGTGTCACGTAAGGTCTGGGATGAAGGAAAAAGGGAAGTCCCTCCAGCAAGCCGGAATTCAAGTCTTGGTTTGCTTACTGTCTTGAAACTCGTGGCCAGAGATGTGTTTTGGAAACAGATGGTAAATAAGTTTCCACCTTCCCTACTGGGGGTTTCGCTAAGGATGGTTTCATTACGCTAGTGCTGGTGTGGATGATAGCGTGTTCTGTGACGGGATCATGCTTAACTCCTGAAAAGTACTTGCTCTCATTTATGGTTCCATATCGGAAAGACAGGTGAGAGAGGATTAGCTCCACTGTCTGTGATAAGGCAAATCTGTTAAGAGGGATTAGAAGGGCTAGATGAAGTGTTCTAATGGACTTATATGAAGTAATAGATTTTTGTCCTGGAGGAATGTTCAGGACTTGCTGATACTTCTGTATTTCTTGTTCTGCTGAAATTACCTCCAAATTCTAAGGAATCCTGGTTAATGATTGGCTTTCTTCCAGCTGGAGCATTTGTGTCAGTCATGGTGGTGCTTCAGAAAATCTGGAATAAAATCCTTGTTCTGCTGTCACACAGCTGGGTTCACCAGCCTTACACAGCGCATGGGTTGCACCAGTCTTGTTCTCATGAGCCTTCATCAACAGGCAAGTTGCTTTTAGGGCAGCTCTTGATCATTGGTTCTTCGTCGCTGTAGATGGTTGTCACCTTTCTCTCACTGATTGAGTAGCCAAGGCATGGCTTCTACCCTTGGCATTTACTGCACCATATGGGGCCTGTGATAATGAGCTGTATACTTAAATGAAGGATCTATCAAAAGACTTCCAAGCTACCCAGAAATAGTTTCCTTCAGCATGTTCTGCTTACATGTTGGAGCATGGACCTGGTCTGCCACCAGTACGTGGGACTGATGCCCCGCAGATGAGTTTCCTGGTGCCAGTTCAGCATTTAAAAGAGCACAGAGTCATTCAGGCTCTTTGTGCACCCTTGCGCTGTGAATACTTGCTTGCTGCAGGCTTGCAGACCATGTTGCCACTGCCAACTTGCCAAACACTTGTAGAGGACGTGGATCCCCACAAGCAATGCGATGAGTGTTGAACTTTGCAGTTGCATTTTCTGTGCCTCTGTGTGTGTGTGTATGCTTTGGAGTGAGCTTTGTTTTTATGAGCGTAGCT